GTGTACCAGACTTGTACTACAGAAGTGTACCCTAACCCTAACCCTAACCGTAACCCTAACCCTAACCCTAACCTTAATCCTAACCCTAACCCTAACCCTAACCTTAAACATACCTCATATAAAAATATAAACATAATACTAAACAACCTAAAACTACCTCGGGTACATATCTGTAGTACCTGATATGACAACGACCCCATCTGCCTGACTGCCTGCCTGTCTGTCTGTCTGTCTGTCTGTCTTCCTGTCTGCTTGCTTGCCTGCCTGTCTGACTGTCTGTCTGTCCGTCCGTCCGTTCGTCCGTCCGTCCTTGCCCGTCTATCTGTCTGCCTGCTTGCCTGCCTGGCTGACTGTCTGTCTGTCCGTTCGTCCGTCCGTGCCCGTCTATCTGTCTGCCTGCCTGCCTGCCTGCCTTTTGGCTACCATAGGGAACGGGTAAGTTTCAGTCCCCTCACTTGTGGTGGTGCTACGACCACCCGGACTGCTCGGAAATTTCAGACTAATGGTGCGACCATAGCGAGTGGAGCGGCACTGGTTTACAGCTACGTCATTACGTGCATATTATTAATCGTAGGGTCAGTGTTGTGTGTGTGTGTGTGTCGCTGACCTTAGGAGACCTACATTAAATTAGCAACATGACGAACGGCTGATGAGACACGACGTGATTAACCCACGTATATTACCCAGGAGCGGAAAGATCTGAAGACATGCTTGTGTCAGAGAAACAAATCATTTTGTCGTTTTCGCTCGCCGTTGGGCGTTTGGCGTTGGGTTGGGCAAGTTCTATGTATCTACTACCTACTCTCCTTGCTTTTGTACGCATCGCAGCGCCCCCGGGCGGAGAGATACAGATTTAAATGAGTGAACGGTGTCTGTACTGTCTTCGACCTCATTTTGGGAGCACAACCCGACGGCAAATAAACATCGTGGACGTCTGTAGCACGCACTAACGTGCATCAACACGAGCCGAATAGGTTAGAAGCAAGGCTTATATATGCGCTTGTTTTGTGCTTGAATTTCGTGAGAGCCGGTTCGGCCGACAGGTGGCACGCTCGGCGTTCTGACACGCAGCACGAACGTGTCAGTCTAGTCGTTGGGATTAGACGTTCCTCCTCTCCCAGTCTCTTATCGCAGCGGCTCTGAGTCGACGGGTGTCTTGATAAACACGTATTGGATCTCTTGATTGACGGCTTGGCCGGACACTACTGTTGTGACCGCGGGGTTAGGGAATTCATGCGATGGTACTGTGGTGTCCTTGCATACAACCCGTGACAGTTGTGACTGTGGGGTTTATGAAAAGATTCTCTCCCTTTCTCTCTCTCTCTCTCTCTCTCTCTCTCTCTCTCTCTCTCTCTTTCTCTCTCTCTCTCTCTCTCTCTCTCTCTCTCTCTCTCTCTCTCTCTCTCTCTCTTTCTCTCTCTCTCTCTCTCTCTCTCTCTCTCTCTCTCTCTCTCTACATGCTCCTCTCACA